ACGGGTTCTCACTATGTAGTTCAGACTGGCTTTGATCTCTCTATGTAGCCCACTGACCTCAAACTTACAGCAATGCTCCTGCCTCAGCCTCCCAAGTGCTGGGATTACAGCCATGTGCCACCACGCCTGGCAAAAAACTGAAACTAGAGATTCCATTTGACTCAGCCGTTTCCCTTCTAGACATCTGAAATATTTTAAAGCATCATACCACAGTGATATATGCACATCCATGTTTATAGCAGTGCAATTTGTAATAGCTAAATCTTGGAAACAGCTCATACGCCCATTAGAAGATCAATGGATGAAAAAAATGTATTTAGGATGGAGTGCTACTCTGCCATAAAGAAATAAGAACTTGAATCATTTGTAGGAAAATGGTTGTACCTTGAGATCATAATCTTAAGTGAAATGAATTGGACACAGAAGTTTAAATATTGCATTATTTCTCTTGTGTGAGAAATCCAAAGGATCAATAGGCGTATAATGGAGGACAGATTTTGGGAAGCAGAAAGAACATGTTTGAATGAGCAGGGGAACAAGAGGTGGAGGAGAGGGAGAAGGGAAAAGGAAAAGAAAGACAACAGAAGGGAAAAAATGAAAATAAAGCTTGTATAAATGGGGAGGGGAAGAAGAGTTAAAAGGAAAGGAGGGGAATGGGAGAAAAGAAAAATTAAGATATCATAGGTACAGGCACAAATTACCTATGAAGTATCTGATCAATATGCATGACAAATATGCACTAATAAAACATTAAGTTAAAAAAGTAAGTCCTAGTATTTTATTGCACAGTACGGTGACTACAGATAATGATGACTGTGTCTTTTCAAAAGCTAGAAGAAAGGATTTAGACTGTTTTCACCAAAAATAAACGATAAATGTTTGTGGATGTGTCAGTTACTTTCCTGTTGCTACGACAAAATACTTGACAACTATAAGTTATAGGGGAGAGGTTTATTTTTCTCACAGTTTGTAGAGGTTTCAGCTCATAGTTGGCTGCCTCCAAGGCAGAGTGACATGGCACAGGGACATCGCAGAGGCGAAACAGTGCATGACATAGGCAGGCAGGAAGCAGAGTGGGACCAAGGGAGTAGGAAGGATGTATCCTTCCAGGCCACACCACCAGTGACCCCCTCTTCTCACCAGGCTGCACCTCCCAACATCACACCTGGTATAAAGCAATCAGCAGACTAATCTTGTACCACACAACCATGATTCAGTCACTTCCCAGAAGCCCCACCTATGGGCGCATGAGGCTTTGAGGGGACGTCTAGACACAGGGGATGTGGGTATATCTATATTTGCTCTGATTTCAACATTACACAACACATACACACATTGAAACATAACATGGTACTCCAGAAATGAACTTTTGTGCCAATTAAAAATTAAAAGAAACTAAAAACTAAAGAACGAAAGACTGATTGGTGACTCTCCCGCCTTACCCTCAGGCTATATCAACTGCTCCAACAAACAGTAGCAAATGCTATTTCCCAGGCACATAACTGAACAGCTATAGTGAATGAGGCTGGAACTATTGGATCCTCTCTATCAAAACACTGCTTATTTTCCTGGTTAGCCTTGTACCATTCACGAACCAAGTACTAGTAGTGAGCCTCCCATGTGTTAGGCATCATGCTGAATGCTGGGGGTAGAAGGATTAGAAGGGCACAGTCCCTGTGTTGAAGAAGCCCAAGGTCCTAACACCAGCACCTGACAGATGAAAGAATTCCATTACTGTTTTGCTGGCATCTCCTCCTGATACTCAGCAGAGCAGAGCTAACTATTTCTTCTTTGGGTCACTCTGCTGCTGTCTAGTAAAACTTCTGGAGTCGGACCTCCTTTTACAGTGCGATTTCCTCGTCAGCTAGAACCCTTTCCTGTTTGCCTTGTTCCCTAGAGGAACCAGCTTAGATCCTGGGTCCAGTGACACATGTGCATCACGTATGTAGGGGATGAATGTGAGCGAACACTGCGCAGGAGTAGAAGGGTAGAGAGCAGAAAGTAAAATCACTCGTAGGGTGACTAAGACCCCACCTTGACTTCTCTCCTTAGCTTGTCCTAGCCAGGTGATCTGAAGCAAATGACTCGCTTCTGCACAGATATGAAGATGCCAAAATTCCTCCACCCCGAGATGTTGTGCAGATTCAGTGAGTTAAAATAAATAGCCGTTTGGTGATACACATTAGTGGTACCACAGCTCCTTTTTTTTCTGCCATCAAGATGATTATTACCCCCTGCTCGCCTCTCCTCTCCTGTCCCATTTTTCCCAACCATCAGCTAAAATCCTCCAGTACTCCCAAATCATCACACCAGAGTACTCTGTCCAGGGATCGGGAGTGCAGACAGTGTAGTTCTTGGAAGGAGAGCCTCTACCTGAGTTTTCATGCGTGTTTGTGTTTCTATACTGTCGATAGAGTGAAAAGAAATTCTATTTTAAGAGAATTTTGAGGTATAGTAAAGCTGTCCTTCAAAGGAAGGGAAGTGGGACAGATCGTATGTGGCATGAGGCATCAGTGTCACTTCTGTCAGGTTGAGTGGGTGAGTATGACATAGAAATAGACTGAAAAGTCCCACCAGTTTCTGTTTTCTTCTTCCCACACAAAACAAACGACCCAGGAGGCAGACTCAAAACTCCTCAGGTCCACTTAGCGCAGGCAAATTAGACCTGAATTAAGGGAGCAGCTTCTGATCTGGTTTCTTCACCCCCCGCCCCATGAGCTGGGGCAGCTGCAGCCCCTCTCACCTACTTCTTGCTAGAACCTTCTTCCCCAGGACCCTGATCTCAGTGAGTCAGGGACACCAGCAGCAGGCAGTGGGAGAGGCTGGCTGCTCTTCAGACCCTCCAGACCCTTCTCCTGCCCTTGATCTCTTGCTGCTGGTTCAGGTTGGGCTTTGAACACTAGGGCGCCAGATGTGAAGAGCTGCTTGGCAGATGTGTGGTCCCCCTGGATTGAGATGCATGCCTGTACTTTTACTGCTCCTAGCTCTCATTTCTTCTCTGGAAATGTCAGTTTGATTCATTGAAACAACACATCGGTCAACGGGTGGGTTAAATTAAGAACATCTTCTGTTACACACTTTCATGATTTCAATTCATCCTTGGCACAAGTGAGCCCTTACCTTTGTTTTCCTCCCATTACGATTTACTTTGAGTGAGCCCAAGCACCACAGGGCTACGCCGGACAACTTGGGAGAAGAGACGGGCTCTTGTTCTTCCAGTATTCTCCTCCCCTCCATCACCTGCCCAGGGTGAGACCTAACCGGACACAAGGGAACAAGGAAGAGCAAGGGAAACATCAAGCTGGAGAGGATGTCAGCATCTTTGAAGGCCGAGGCCGCACCAGCTCTCATTCTGTCCATGTTGCCAGCCTTTCTCCGGGAAGTCATTTTCAGTTTGTCCAGAATCTGGACTCCTGACTTGTCCTTTTTCCGTAGAGGATTTGTCCAGGGCTTCCTCATTTCTTCCTGGGCTTGGTGTCTGGCAGCCCGGGTTGGCATTGCCTTCCTGTTGCTACCTATCTTAAGGGGACTTCCAGAGCCTGGGGTCCACTTCCCCTTACTCTCTTCCCCATAGCCCGGACCACACATCACGTCCCTTCTCACCTCCCACACTCGCGGTTCTCATCGCTGATTTCACAAGTTCTCTGCCTCATCCTCTTCCACAGCCAGTGGTCCCTTCTGAGACACGCTGTCCTGTACTTACCCACTTGCAGTTGCCTTCAATACTCGAGTCAGGCGTGGCCTACCCTAGGAAGCCCTCTGGGAAATCCACTTTCTCTCGGCCTAGGTAAGGTGCCCTATGGTCCCTGCACATCCCTTCTCAAAGCAGCCTGTGGTTTTCCCATTTGCCTTCAGGACCCCAGCACCGGGGCCTTGTGGTCTGCATTTTCTCCTCAACCTAGCAAAGCACTTGTATCGTCACCCTCCAATGAGACTTGTGGAATATATGATGAATGAATGAATATCTATTCTGTGCTTTTGCTGGGGACCAAATATCACACTCCTTGTGTAGCTTGCATCGCAAAATGAAAGTTGAAAAGTTAAACTTCTTTTCTTCTAGACACAAACAGATTCTCCTTTCAGACATAAGCAACATTTCCAAACTTTTGCCGAGCACACAGCCAACATGCCCTCCTGTCCTCAGTCCAGAGGAAGTGACAGCATATGCAGGTGCCAGCCCCAGGAGGTCTGCCAGTTTCTGTGCACAGGGAAGGGGAGAGAGCAAGCTGTCGACTGCCTAGTGCAGTAGAGGAAGCCTCAGATGTGTGTTGTCTCGTGGTTCTTGCCGCACCTCCGTTCCTTGCTACGGAAGACCCTACATGCCTGTACCCTGGGAGATGATGATTTGAAGCAAATGGGTCCCTCCACCTTCTCAAAGCTAGCTTTGAATAAGTCCTTTTCTTTCTCCAAAATAAATGGCCTCCTTTGATTTGGTCAGCAGCCAACAAGTAGACCTGAGCTTCTGGACCTCAGTAGCCGGTAGTACTTGGCCCGGAGGCTTCGTGTCAGAAGGGGAGGATTTCTATAGAGGGGAGACCAGTGGAGAAGAGGAAGGAGTTCGGGTAGGGTGGAGATGAGAGATGGAGAGTGGCAAAATAATTCAAGTATACTCTGCAGGTACAGTCATATGTTCTTCTGTGTAACTAACATGCACTCATTAAAAATAAAAAAAGAAAAAGGTTTCCACCAGGGTTCTGAGGGGCTGACTTCAGCACCTTTCCCCTTCCCAGGCTGACTGAAATTTTACAGTCAGGGGAGCCTTCAGCCAGTAAAGAAAGAACTGAGAGGCACAAGGCAAGCTGGGTGATTCTTGTACCCCCAGGCAAAGACTGGAGATACCAGAGAACCCAGCCTGGTCATCTCTGATTAGGAAAGATCTGAACTGGGAGTGCGTGGGCTGCCTCAGCCTCCTTCTCTGCTCACTTGGGTTGAATTCTCCGCCTCCTCCTCTGAGTCACACTGACAACTTCCCTCCCCACTCCGCTCGAGGGCTTCTTCAGTACTTCGGCCTTGCTATCCTGCAGCAGCCTGGAGCTCAGAGCCGTGTCTGACCTTCCAGTCATGAGCAGGACCTGCGCAGCCCTCCTCTTGTTCACGGGTGAGCCCGGAGTCCTGGCTAGGGGACCAGGGTCTAGGTAGGGAGAGAGGCTGGACACTTAGGGGAGGCTGGCACATAGGCTCTGAGATCTGGAGCTTCCGAGGAAGAGGGTGTTGAAAACCAATTTGGGAGGAATTCAATGATGCCTTGAGTGTCTAGGGATTTCTAAAGCAGGCAGAGAAAGTCATTTTTGTGCTTCGTCCACGGTGCCCTTGTGGCCCTCGAGTCTTCCCAGCTTCTCCTTTGTAGGCTCCAGGGGTAAGGGCAGGGAGGGCTGATTAGTTCTGGCGGTGACCGATGCTCTGTGGAAATGGTGAACCTAAGCTTGTCAGGGAAGCACTTCCTGAAGTCCGTCTGTGAAGCGTGAGGACAGAGGTAGGACCGGTCCAGGACCCAAGGAGAGAACAGGGACCCAGGACACAGTGCCAAGGGAGGGCGGGGTGGAGGGACACAGGAGGAAGACTCTTCTCACTTCCCCAGGCGTAGCTGCTTCTCTCGGCTTCAACTTGGACACGCAGCAGAGGACAAGCTTCCGTGGGGACAGCCCTGGGTTTGGACACAGTGTGGTCCAGTATGCCAGCTCCAGGTGAGAACGGGTGGTGCCTGGCCTTCGGTGCTCATCGGCTCTGCTCCCTGCACAGAGCCCTCTCCCTTCCCAGCCCATACCCCGGTGGCATGACTTCCAATTTGCCGACTTGCCCCGAGTTATGGATATTTTGATGAAAGCATACACTGTCTTACTGTCATGATAATTATAGCTGGTACTTATTGGGTACTTTGTAAATGCCAGGCACTGCGACCTGCAATTACAGTTGGGCACTGATTTAGACTTCACAACCTTAGGACTTATGCTTATTGAACACCTACTATCTATCTCAAGAGCTGAGTGTACATCAGAGAATAAAACAGACAAAATTACTGTCCTTGCCGAATCAAAATTGTTACTGATCTCCATTTTATGGACAGGAAACCGAGGCTCAGAGTGGTGAAGCAAGCTTACCGGAGGGGCAGTGGGGCTTGTGTCTGTTTCTTATTGAACACCTACTATCTATCTCAAGAGCTGAGTGTACATCAGAGAATAAAACAGACAAAATTACTGTCCTTGCCGAATCAAAATTGTTACTGATCTCCATTTTATGGACAGGAAACCAAGGCTCAGAGTGGTGAAGCAAGCTTACCGGAGGGGAAGTGGGGCTTTTGTGTCTGCTCATTACTGCAGTGGTCTTTTTCTCCCTGCAGGGTGGTGGTTGGAGCCCCCAAAGAGATCACGGCTGCCAACCAGACAGGTGGCCTCTACCAGTGTGATTACAGCACGGGCAGGTGTGAGCCTGTCCCTGTGCAGGGTGAGTCACTGTCCTGCAGCGACCCACACCAGGCTCCTCTGGCAACCCCAGCTCTGTCTGCAGGACCTCTGGTCTCCATCAGGATCCCCAAGCCCCTCACGGCCTCTGCCTGTCACAGCCCAGTACTCTTTCTCTCTCTCCACCATTACCTGGATGGCTTCATCCCTTGTCAGGCCTCCTTTTGCCAAGAGGCTGTGGACCCTGCCCAGTTCTTACCCATCCTCTCTGTCTCCAAGGGTGACCGCATCTGTCCTCTCTGTCTCCTCAGTCCCCCCGGAGGCCGTGAACATGTCCCTGGGCCTGTCCCTGGCAGCTGCCACCAACCCCGCCCGGCTGCTGGTGAGTTGCCCGGGCTCACAAGAGGGTCTCTGGGGAGGAGTGGGGCCCAGGGCTGCTGGGGCTGGAGTCCAGGGGAAGGTTAAGTGCTGAGTGAGGGGAGAGTGGGCCGCTTTCCCACCTGCCCCCTCTGTCCCCAGGCCTGTGGCCCAACTATGCAGCAAGCGTGCAGACAGAACATGTACTTGATGGGGTTGTGCTTCCTGCTGGTCTCCCCTGCCCAGGAGAGAAAAAGGCTTCCAGATGCCCCACAGGGTGAGTGTCTGGACCACCAGCTCCTTTGGGGAACCCACGTGTTCAGCTGGGGGTATGATGGGGTCAGAGACTTTTACCGGAACAGATAAGAAAAGAGGTGTTCTGAAAAAAAAATAGTCACTACAGGGTGTAGTGGCTCCAAGCAGAGCTGAAGTGTCCCTC